GCTGCAGACGACGAGTCTGGTCGCTCTCGCGCTCACGCAGCTGCGAAGTCAAATCGATCTGAATCTTCTCCCCTGCCATCACCCTCAGTTGGTGCTGCTGCTGCTGCTGCTGCTCATCATGTCCCCATTTCCCCTTGCCCTTCCCCTCTCGACCTCCCTCCATACCCCCCCCCCCCTCCCCCTCCCCCTCCCCCCCCTCCACTCCTCTTCCCTTGCTTTACCTGCAGCTGCCCCATCATGAAAGAATCGCATGCCCGGCAACGTGTAGGTCAGGACAGCACAGGCTGTATGCTTATCTATCTCTTGCACCACCTGTAGATTCAACATTCACCCTCCCGCTCCCCACCATGCAATATCCATCTTCATTCCAACTTGCAAGCAAGATCTCTTCTCCACTCCTCCTCCTCCTCCTCCTCCTCCTCTCCCTCTTCTTCTCTCTCCCTCCTCCTCCTCCTCCTCCTCCTCTTCTCTCTCCCTCTTCTTCCTCGCCTCCTCTCCCTCCTCTTCTTCCTCCGCCTTGCCTGAGCTATCCGTTTCTCTTCGTGGTTCTCAAGGTAGCGCACCATACGGTCCTGCTCGCATGCGTGAGACCAGAAGCGTGAGGACGCGGAGAGGAGGGAGGGAGGGAGAGGGAGAGGTGAGATAAATAGCTGGAGGAAGAGGAGGAAGCGAAGAATGTCTTGGTGGAAGCGGAGAGAAAGGAGGAGGCGTTGGTGAAAGAGGGGCCAGAGGAAGAGGCGCGGAGGGGGGCGGGGGAGCGAAGAGGGAAGAACCTGGGAAGGAAGCGGTGTGCCGAGGTGCTGGCGGACGGCGAGAGCGTTTCCTTCGATGCACTTGTCGTAGAGGTTCTTGTCGAAGGTGAAGTCAAACCCGAACTGCTGCAGGTCCAAGTCCCTTCCCCAGTAGACCTCACCCATGAGGATGAAATCTGTACAATCACACTCAGAGGAACTCTCCTCCCTCCCTCCCTCCCTCCCTCCCTCCCTCCTTCTTCTCCCTCTTCCTCCCACCCCCTTCATTACTTAATTTCTTCTACCATCCTCTCCCTCTCCCTCTCCCTCTCCCTCTCCCTCTCCCTCTCCCTCTCCCGCTCCTTCTCTGACCTTCGTGAATCGCTCGCGCTACTTTGATGGCATCAGGCCAGAACGGCTCCTTGAAAGCGCCAACACTTCCGAGGTGCTTGCCCCACGTTTGTTCCAGAATGTCCTGCCGCTCCTCATGACTGAAGTAGGAAGGAGGAGGATGAGGAGGAGGAGGAGGAGAAAAGCTATGGGGCATGGGGGAAGGAGAAAGGTCGTTGAGTAATCTACCGGGCAGAGCAGCATAGCCATATCGCCTACAAAAGGTTTCAGCAACTACTCCCTCCTCCTCCTCCTCCTCCTCCTCCTCCTCCTCCTTCCTCAAGCGATTCTTACATCTCACTCCGTCGCAGATGCTCACGATCTTGGTTAAGATTGTGCACATCTCAGCGCGCAGATCAGGATTTGCTGTAAAGACCTTGATCACATGACGATGAAGGGGAGGAGAGGGGAGGAACAAGAGAAGAGGGAGTAGGGAGGAGGGAGGAGGGAGGAGAGGACTTAGAGAGGGAGAGAGGAGTGGGAGAGAAACGAGAGAGGAGAATGAGGAGATAGTGGAAGGGTGTATGTACGAAAGAGAGAGGATAGAAGAAGACAGGTAGGGAGGAGAGATTAAGGATAGAAGAAGGAGACAGGAAGGAGGAGGAAGAAGAGAGGGACTGTAGAAAGGAAGATCGCTTCACCGTAGTTCAACTGGACTGTATCCTCCCAACCGTCAAAGTATGGGTCCCTCCCATGAGCAAACACATTCGACCCAACGCGGAAAAAATTCTGAGGAGGAGGAGGAAGGAGTGGGGGAGGAGGGAGGACGAGGAGGGAGGAAGAGGAGGCGGAGGAGTCATTTCACTTCATCTCAATCCGTTTCATCTCACCTGTGGCTCTCTCTCCAAGTCCTCTGCCTTGCCCTGAATCTGCAGAGAGGCAGGTGAGACCGTGAGGGAGGTGCGAGGAAACTGATGATGTAGGCGAGAGTCCAGAGGACGCAGAAGGAGGGAGAAGGAGGGAAAAAGAGGTTGGGGGGAGGGGAAGACAGAGCCTGGAGAGAGGGGTGTGGGGGG